ATGAAATTTTTGAAATCTTTATAAGCTTCGAATTAAACTACAAGACCAGAAAAGATATCAAAATCCAATATAGAATTTAAGCTTAAAATCGAGATAGGCTTAAATCCTGTTAACCTATCCCTTTTTTTCTCACTAGATTTGAAAAAAAAGCTAAGCTTTCTCGATGATAGCTTCAAAGGATCCGATTAGCCAAATAAACTTAGACTCATATCTGCGTTTAGTGAATTGTCAGGTAGGAGGAGAATTAATTAATTAAATAAAATTTTCTGAGGTTATTATTATACTGTGAAAGATATATTATATAAGATGTCATCTCGTCAAGCTAACCAAGCAAATATTCGTAAAGAAGTTCGAGCCAAACTTGCAGAGCTTAAAGGAGTAACCATAATACCATATCTACGTTCTAATAATTTGCTTGCTAAGTATCAAGAGAAAATCGCATAACTTCAGGTGGTAGCTGAGAAAAAAAGAAATGAGACGCATTATGTTTTGCAAAACAAATCTATAGATGAATTGGCCGACTGGTTAGCAGGGCCAGTAAAAGGTTTTAAGCCAAAAGAATCTGAAAATATAGACCCCATTACATTCGATAAATGGGCAAACAAGCAGGAGTGGCTAGGAAAAGAAAATCCAGAATGACATGAGGATAGATCGATTTAGTGGTTTTCAAGACGAATTCCAAAATTAGCACCCCAAAGGAAAAAAAATCAACATGAATTTGGGTATTGGGGCTTTCTAAAGGAGCAAATAAACCGCATATAACAAACAGTTATGCTAAGAAAATTTGGGATCTAATGGATGATGATAAGGAATATGTTATTGAAGTGGCTAATGATTGGGAAATTGGTAGAATGGAAAAGCGAGTATAATGGAATAAATCTAGTGCCTTTGTAGGTGTAAAGAAGGTATGGGTTTCAGGAAGAAAAGAAGAGTATCACATGAATCCTCATGGATGGCTGTCATTGCGTGCTCATTCTTATGGAAAAGTCAGTCTAGATGAGCTTCTATTTATGAATAGGAGAGAGTGGTTATTCTGGAAAGATTTAGAGGCAATGACTCTTAATGAGTATCAAGACAAGCCATATAATCTTGAGCTAGAAGGCCAGCCCTATAAATTATGTTTTCAGTTTATAGTATGTCTACGTCAAAAATTATATGGGTCAGGTATTCATGAAGATGGAACTGTATGGTGGCATAGTGATAGACTAGTCGATGTTAGCTATAAAATAGCATCAGAAGCTTGCCGTCTTCTTTATCATTCTATAGAGTATACATTCTTTACTCGACTTAACACACTCGATAGATTTACCGAAGAAATAGGAGATAAAGGATGGCATTTTGGTAAGAAAAAGAAAGTTGGTAGTCTTACAGGAGAAGAGATCACTCTGGGACAATTAGAAGGAATCGATATATATTTAAGGGGAAGAACCTGTGACTATGTCGAACATATCTGTTATGAACTTCAACCAGTTCTAAGACTACAAGGACTACCGGAACTATTTTATGATGGTGACTTAAATTGTATTATAGCAGAATTACAATGACTAATAGAGCATGAAGGAACAAAGCGGGCTATAGGGCTAACGCCAGCTCGTGAAAGTGCCCTTGCAAATTTTAATGAAAAGGTACAAGCACCTGGCTGTACTTTAGATAATTTGCATGACCTTAAAAAGCCAGAAAAATCTGGAGGTATAGGAATGAAAATCGTCATCAAAGATATTTTGGGAAATGAAATGTGGAATAGTGGTAAGTATCTCAAATAGCGTAAACTAACAGTATTTTGCCATAATAATCATGCATAGACAGAAGGTATACCTGAAATGCCTCAAGTATCTTCAGTCTGTGATATGGATTATGAATGTGAAAGAGCACTTATTTCCGCATGTACAGGGACCAAAGAGGAAAAAATTAATATCGACGAAAAAAAGATTGCTAAAGCTCTTATATCATTTGTCGCAAGAAACCTTCCAAGAGTTACAAGAATATGGATTGTAGGTAAGGAGCTTCTAACTCATGAAGGTATTCTTTATCATAGTTCTCATGAATGGAGAAAGCTGAACGATGCATTTATATGTGAAAAATCGCAATCCATACCTGAAGAATTTTTATGGGAAGAGAATGTAGATATTCGTTAATGGATCGAAGATGAGTATCAATCTAATACACTAACTCCTTCAGAAAAGCTTAAAGCTGAGTTTGATAAAGTCTTGAAATTATTAGGAGGCGTCCAGTCTTATCGATTCCATTGCTGGCGAGAAAAAGAAGGTATTGCACCTACGCTTAGAAATGTTGTAGAGATCTGGCATAAATCACAGGTGGAATCAATGGTATGAAATGCACCAATAGATCCTCCCCTAAGCATATTCATATAGATCTTCGTAAAGCATATCTTGGCTGTGAAGATTCAGAACAAAACGCATCAGAAGCATTACCTTAGGTCTGACGATTTGGATTCTCAGAAAAAATACAACGACATGCTCAAGTTGACAATATTGATACTATTCGCAACTTAACAGGTATTGTTCAACTTATAGCATAGGAATTCGCTCAAGACTTGCATCCATTTACAGCAGGACTTATCGGGCAACATCTGGCAGAAAAAGAAGGTTGGATACTAACGCCTTAGTCAATTATTTGCTAAGCAAAGGATGGCTTTCAAGCGCAACTCCAAGAGAAGTTATATATAGCATAGGTAAAAAATCCCGTATTGAGTTTTCACCAGATTGTGATTTAGCTGTCTGCTTTGTGGGCTCATGTGCTCGTAATGCACAAGTAACGTCTATTTTAGTTCGAGATATAAATGAAGCGGATATGTTAGTCAACTGGCTAGCAAAAAATAAGCGCCGACCAAACTGGACCTGAACAGAGCAAGAAACTTTAATCAAGTATGAAGGTGATGAAAAGCGTGGGCAATGGTTGCATATCCGTTCTTTTGTCCTTACCTATATCCATATTTCTGTACTCGAACAGCTAAAACATTTTCTAATAGAAAATGTATTACGAGTATATACAGATGCCATTTACGCTACAGCAATTCCTGAAACTATTTTAGTTGAAACTGTTGTTGAGATAGGGGCAAGAACTGCTTCCTGATTTTGATAACAGCCTCTTTGCTAAAGCGAAAAATAGTGCAGAGTTAGAAGAAGTGCGTGCAAAATATGAGGCCAAACTAGATAAAAAAAGAAAGCAGTATGAATCAATTATTGTTTTAGAAATACCAGAAATTAAGTATAGCCAATGGCACAAGAAAAAGGAGGAATATATTTATCGTAAAGAAGCATTGTCTTGGAACATTAATAATAAAGGTATACTGGAATTCCCTCTAAGCGACGCACCTCCTCTTTCTATTGATTCGAAACTAATAACATTGCAAAAAATTTATCTAGTCGGGCAAGGCAGTAGCGGAAAAATAACACAAGCCATTCGCGCATTCCCTGGTCGAAAGGTTGTAGTTTTTACACCAGCGAATTTGCTTGCAAAATACCATAGAAAGCAAAATCTAGGCCTAATGGCTATGACATATCATAAGTATTTTCATCTAGAAGCAACACCTATTGATGAGTGGGATTCTGCATGTCTTGGAAAAAAAGCTCTAGATGAAATACTTATCTTTGATGAGGCAGATATGATCCCAAAGAAGGTTTTGCAAAAATTATTGTCATATGCTGAAAGTCGTGGGTGTCAGAATATTATGTGTGGTGATCCAGACCAACTTACACCATGGGGTGATAAAGAAGGTCTACATAAATTTCTTACTGAGTGGGCCAATGAAGTAATCTGATGCATAGATGATTATCGTACTTATGATCTCAAACTTAAGGCACTAAAATTATGCATGTGGATGAAAGATGATATGACCCAATTACAAGAATTCCATGAGGCTATACCTACAACATCATGGAAGAATGCACTTACTGAATGGACTCCAGAAGATATCTGGATTTGCTTCACAAATGATATGGGTATACGAGTTGAAAATGCATTAATATAGGCTCATAAGTCATGCTTTCCTAATGTGCCCTCAATTATCCGCTTTGACCTAGACGAAAATGTCAAGCATATGTATCGTATTCAAGGAAAACCTGTGCAGATTCCAGGTAGCAATGAAATTATTGAAGTATATGTTGGTACGATGGTAAATATACCACTTGAAATAGTACTATGCGGACCCCCTGCTGAGTGGAAATATGCTGGCTGGGGAACAATTCATAGAATCCAAGGACAGACTGTCGAGCCTCCAAAACGTTATTTCATTGTAGACTATAGCCTGAAAGGCTGGATTTACAATGCTGTATATACAGCCTGCAGTCGAGTACGATACATGAATCAAATGATTCGAGTTAAATCACCAGACGGTGTCCTTGAATATATTAAACCTACTGAACTTCAAGTAACTCCTTATCCTTAAATTATTGAGGCAAAATTAAGACGCTATAGGTTAGATGATCGAAAAAAGAAGTGACACTTTCTAAGACCGCTTATGATAGTTAAGGATTAGGATATAGATGATAAGACTGATTTGCTCGAGAATACTACGGTATGTGAGAATCCGCTCTATCTAGCAGAGAATGGTGAGGAGAAGGCTATTCCATCAATCACGCCAGAAGAGATAATTTCTATGGCATATCAGCAAAAGAAATTTTGTAAGGTATGTTGTGTTCTACTCCTATTCCAAGGCTATCTCAAGCGTTATCTACAGTCATTTTCGATTGATCAGATAAATGATGCTGAGGGACATTATCTTCAGAATGTAAGACTTACCTGTTTCTGATGTAATAAAAGATACCGCCATTAAAGTAGCCGAAAAAAGAGCTATAAGGGTCAAGCTCTCTTGATCAAAAATCTGTGAGAGAAAATCAATAAAAATTCAGTTAACTTTATTAGATTTTTTTTTATCTGATAAAATAAATATCCAGTTAGGAAAACATAACGGGCATACATAGAATGTAAAGTTTGGTATTTCCTAGAAGGAATCTGGTCTGAGCAGTTCAATCCAACTAGTCTGAAATAATAACTATCAGCTCAGAAGAATCATTTTTCCAATTGAAAGATATTTTAGCCTATAAAATTCCTTTGAGTTTTTCTCGTAATTGGAGAAGATCCTCTTCTAGAAAATTAGAAAGGATAATACTCTATAACTTACATACTTTAAAATAGTTAATATATTCATGAAAAGTTTCTCTATAATCAATACAATTGTCATATAGGTGAAAAATAATATTATCACGAATGCTGGGAATACTAATAAACTCAGCTTTTCTTTTTTTCTGAATAATAAGCTTAGATACAGCATTCCATTGGTGATTTACTCTGGTGCAACTCCTATAAAGATCTTTTCTACTAAGAAAGGCAAAAATAATTTCAAGTAGTTCAGGTAAAGCTAGGGCGTTATACATATTCATTGATAATAATTAAATCAGATAAATTATCTAATAATGGCTAAAAAAAAACGAGAAATAATCAGTGCAAGACTGCAGGTAAGTTCACTACTAATTCTATGCAGTATATTATGCTAATCATTACATATATCACGGGAATAAGCAATTGCGCATAATAATTTGTTCTCAAATTTTCTCGCACATTCTCAAAAATCTGTATAACTTCTTGATGATCTTTACATATGAATAGCGTTAAATTTTTTGGCAAAACACCTTTAACTGATCACCCGCTAATTTGCAACTCAGAATTGGCCAGAGAAGATCTAGGGACTTTCATGTTTTGCAATGATCAACTGCGAAAGGAATAAAAATATAAAAATGGTAAATGTATAGGAAGGTTTAGGTAGGAAAAAAAAATAAAATCAATTATATATTATTGCCGAAGTCGCCCAGACTCTTCGAACTATCAAACTACATAATTTATCATTTTTCTAAAACTATTCCGCAAAATGCTTTCAAAATTTGAAATTTTTTCTATTGCACTTTTCACTATCGTATTCATCATCTATGAGATACTCCTTCGAGGTATCATAACGCTAGATATGTTCCAGGCTTTTTTTTCTGGAAATATAATCATCTATATAAGTCTTGTGACCTTATTCATCTATTTTCACCGAGAAAGGCCTAGGAAATAATAACTCTGAAATCCTGAAGATAAAAAATGATCTCCAGAGAATACATGAAGAGGCTGAATGGAGAAATGATGCAATCTCTCAAGGTATAATATTCTTTCGTATGACCGATTTTTAAACATTTTTTTTCAGGATAAGATCTAATATGACTTATTCTTTCCTAGTCAGCTCTAATCAGTTTTCGACTACAAGTAATATATCAACTGGATGATATTCCGTTTATAGTGAGGATATAGAAACATATTAGATCGAGTTTTCAGCTCTCTTCGATCAAAGAAGAAAGAGAGAAGGTTGTTCTACTGCATAATTATATAATATATTATCTAATAAAAATGAGGTTGGACTTAGTCCGGCCACGTTGGCGAGTTTCTATAGACATCAAACAATTCTGAGAGCGACGATAATGGATAAAATAAAGGCCTGGGTTGATAGAGAAAATGAAAAAAAAGTGGTTAGTTTTCGAGAAGCAGTAGTAGCAGTAGTAGTAATAATAGTAATACTTTCAGTGGAGGTAGTAGTGCGAAATAAAAATAGTGCTGGGACTCTCATTTATGGCTTAGGATCTGAGAACTCCCTCCCTCTTAGAGTGTTTATGACTCTTTATGCACTATTTTTATTTCAAACGCTATTTTCCTAGTCATTTCTTTTTTATATATTTCTTAGCCGGACCGAAGGTGTTAAAGCTAAGGTATTTATCTAAAAAATTTTTAATAAAACTCTGAATATTAATTTTTTAAATAATAAAAATAATAAATTTTTTGCATGCAAGATTTTTTGCGCGCAAATATCTGAGTATAATGTTCCATTCAAATTATAATTACATTACAGATAAGCTCCCAGTAAGTATAAAAGATAGAGTATACCAAAGGCTCCTAAATCATTCGCATAAACCTATTCCTCTAAATCAGATTTCAGAGAAAAATAAGCGGATAGAGGATTATTTACACTATACATTAAAGATTTACCAGAAATCATTAGACTGGAATCGTAAAACTATAGATCAGAAAAAATCACGACCTCAAAGTTAGCTGAAATGCTCAGCACCTGATATTAAACCCTAAACAGAAAACAAGTCAAATGATCATAGGGTGGAAATTAATGATCAGACTAAATATGGACTTATTATTCTGCAAAAGCAACTGCTTAAATATAATAAAGAAACATTTAGTCATTTTATGTAGAATCTAACTAGAGAACATAAGGAACAAATCATGGAAAATAACCATCTGCACTATGAAATTAATGAAATAAAAGCGCAGGTGCAGGGATAGAAAAAGCCCTTGCTAATATGAAATCATCGGTATAAAATTAACTGATCATCCTGTATAAATACATCATGTGAAGTGCCTCTGGCTAATCCCCTTGTTAATCATGAGAGATCTACAAACCAAAAGTAACGGGAGAACGCCGGAGACTAATGAGGAGCTAAGTATACCATAATACAATGATGATCATGTTGTGTATATTGTCTTGGATTTAATTTAACCGAATCAAAAAAATTAGTTATAAATATGGGATCTTTGCAATAGAAAGGGAGGAAACTCAAAAAAAAATAAAAAATGAGTTAATAATAAATCTGAACAAATTATAGTATTTGGAACATTTTTGGCTTATAAACTAAAATTTTAATTTTTTTGGAGTTTCCTCCCTTTCTATTGCAAAGGCCCATATGTTATAGATCTAAATATCAAACATATCAGATATATTTGACATATCAGACATATTTGATATATTTGACATAACAGATATACTAAATATATTAAATATATTCGATATATTAGACATATTTGATTTATTTGTTATATCCATCTATGTATTAAATTTATTATAAATAAAGAACAATAAAATTATGTAAATTTTAGTTCACTTCTAGTTTTACTTTTAGTTTTCCTTTTAGTTTGCATTAGATACATCTTTAGTAGTTGTTAGAGGTACCTAGCTTAACCTTCGTATTTAGTACTTTAATTCTTTTACTTTTTCTTATTCTTTCTTATTTTCTTATTTCTTATTTCTTTCTTATTTATCGTGAATAAACATATTATTATATCCCTGAATTAATTAAACTATTTTACTTTTAATCTTGTTGAGAATACACCACTGTGTAAAATTATAAATCTTGAGTTAAACTGAATTGAGTCACTATGTAAACTTAAAAGAATTACTACTTAAACATTCTGTTTAATTGTCACAATTCGCAAGGATTGCACATTAATACTATAATAATAAGTCAGATAAGAAGAAGTTTTTCAAGAAAATCAAAAGTCCAAATTTCAAGTATGGCAGACCACTTAGAGATATGCCAGTAGGTGCATATATGGGAAAAGCTAGCATAGTTCTCAATAAGCTAATCATTATTAAAGCATCAGTTCTAGGTTTTAGTAAGCTTTTAATGTACTACTTTTGGTATGATTATGTAAAAAAGAAATATGGAGACAAGGTAAAGCTTAGATATATAGATATGGACTCCTTTATATTTATAGTTGAGACTGAAAATATTTATAATGATATGGTAGAATGACCAGACCTCTTTAATTTTAATAATTTAAAGACTATTAGATTTTTCAAAATGAGACTTCAGGTAATGTAATTACTGAATCATTCCATATCTGAACAAAATTATACTATTATGTCTTAGCTGATAAATCCACAAGTCAAAGCATAAAGGGTCAGCAAAAAGGGTATGAATGAAATAGCAGAGAATACCTATCCTAAAAGTAAATCCCCTATGACTCAAGTATATCAGAATTGTCTATTCCAAAAAAAGGTATTCTATGCTAAAAATATAGGATTTTGATTAAAAGATCATGTTATATCTCTAGTTGAGTTTGAGAAGAAGGCTCTTTGTCCTATAGATACTAAGTACTAGATATTATCAGATGGAATAACTGGTATGCCTTATAGGCATTGGTCTATCATGGTATACAAGAATATGATCAAAGATGATATATCCTATGAAGTGATTAAAAAAATAGCTATAAGAACCAAGCTTCCAAAGAAGTATCAAAATGAATGTATGTCTCACATATCTAGCTCACTCTAATAAGCTAGATTAGTAATGATTTCTGCATAACATTAATATAATATTCAGTTTATTTTTTTCCAAATTATAAAAATGCTTTCTAAAAAGTATTGTACATATTATTTAGAAAAGGTAGATACTATTCAAGGATCAAAGAAAACATTATAGTGTTAGAACATAATGTAACTAAAATACATCAAAATCTTAAAAGAATTGGTCAAGAAATCTGTTATTTATATAATACTATGACCGAATCATCTGAGTTTAGTTCATCTGAGTTTAAAGTAAAGATAATTACATCTAAATGCAGTTCATCTGAAAATATAAAAGTTAAATGCTATAAACCAAAAAAAAAGACCAAGTGGTCTAATCTTTCAGAAAAAACATATGATTTTAGACTGCTAAAATTTGCTATTATGCAATCTAGCCAAGTATGATCACATATATAATAGGCAACTGGCTTTATTACTGTTAAGAATATAAGGCAAGATAGAATAGTAAGCATGCTCGATTATTCTGAACTGTGTGAATATTTCTTCCTTAATTAAAGATCTGCAGAAAAAGCTAGGTTTTATTTTTTTCAAATTTATGAAAAAAAAGTTAATTAGACTAACTTTCAAATACTGAGAAGAATAAAAGCTGAAAGTAAAAAAGATATATCCAATAATTTACCCCTTTTTTTTCACTATAGTTCAAAAAAAGAAAATCTAATAGATAATCTATCAAATAAGCTAAGATCAAAAGATGGTTAGGCTATCTTCAAAAGGTCTTAACCAATGGAAGGTATCTGAAAAAATATACTTTCTAAATGCATGTTTAGGCAAGGCTTAATCTAATAGATACTATATTTTTTTCTAAGTATGGATTTGTCAAACTTTTCATGGGCTTAGTATAGGATTTCTCAATTGTATATGGATTTTTTCATAAAAATGTTACCAAAAATTGGCTGAATATAGGAATATCTTTCTACAATATTGGCATGTCTGATCAACTATTTTTTTTACAGGTTCCTCCTTTCCTACAGTAAAAATATTACGCTAGGATTTGTGAACTGATAGAGGGATAGTAATAGTCTTTTCGTTACATGTAGCCTTAAATTTTTCTTTATTAAAGGCTTCCATCTAGCTCAATATTACCATTGAGTATTAAGAATTACTAAAGATTTAGCATTTTTATTACGATTCTTTTCTGCAGGCACAACAGAAAATTCATCTATAATAGTAGCTGTATTTTTTCCAGAATCAATTGTTATAGGAACATTATCTATAGTATTGATAGATATTGATTGACTTGCAACTCCATTAAGC